GGGGCCTGCCCGGGGACAGCGGCCGCCACAGCGCCCCGCCGGGGCCGCGCCAGCGGGGACAGCGGGGACAGCGGGGCCGGACCGACATGGAGACACCGGGGACACGGGAATGGGGACAGAGGGACACCGGGGCCGCGCCGGCGGGGGGACAGCGGGGACAGGGACAGCGGGGACACTGGGGCTGCACCGGCATGGGGACACCGGGGACGGGGACAGAGGGACACCGGAGCCGCACCAGCATGGGGACAGTGGTGATACCAGCATGGGGAGCCGGGATGGGGGGACAGAAGGACACCGGCACGGCACCGGGATGGAGACAGCGGGACACTGGGATGGGGACACGGATGGTGACAGGGATGTATTGCGGTGGCACCAGCACGGAGACAGTAGGGACACCTGGACAGCACTGGCATGGGGACAGCAGGGACACTGGGATGGGGACAGTGGGGCAGCACCAGGATGGGGAGAGGACACCAGGTCTGGCACTGGGATGGAGTGAGGGGGATGACAGCAGGTCCAGCAGTGAAATGGAGTGAGGAGCAGAGGGGGTGACACCAGGGACACTGGGATGGAGTGAGGAGCAGAGGGGGTGACACCAGGTCTGGCACTGGGATGGAGTGAGGAGCAGAGGGGGTGACACCAGGTCTGGCACTGGGATGAGGCAAGTGGGTGACACCAGGGGCAGCACCAGGATGGGGCAAGTGCAGACTGGCCCCCAGAGCCAGATGTCCCCTGCATCCCCCACACAAACAGTCACACTACAGGGCAGAGTTCAGCACTTTTATGGCCCCAGGTCCTCGCAGGGCACGAGGAACAGTTTGGAGTACAGCAAGGGGTACAGCTCCTAGGGACAGCAGTTCTTTAAGGGGCAGGTCCTTGGACAGAGCGGGCTGCAAAGGGAGAGGGTGTGAGTTTGTGAATTTGTTTTGGGTCACATCTGGATGTTTGGCTTGGCTTTGTGCTAATTTGGGATGTTCGGACCTGCTTTGTGCCGATCTAGGATGTCGGGCTCTGTTGTGGTCAGGTCTGGACACTGGGATCTGCTTTGTAGTGGTTTTAGGGTGTTGGAAGCTGTTTTCGGTCAGGTCTGGACACTGGGACCTGTTTAGTGTCAGATTTGGGACAATGGAAACTACTGAACATTGAATTCAGGACATTGGGATCTGCTTTGTGCTGGGGCCCTGTTGTCAGTGGTGTGTGTCAGTTCCAGGGTGGGGACAGCAGCCGTCCCCCGGGCTCAGCAGTCCCAAACACAGCAGGGCAACACCCAGAAGCTCGGCGTCGGTCTGTCTGTCCCTCACAACTCGGCGTGGTACTGCTCCATTTGGAGGGCCTCGCTGGGCTGCATGAAGATGCCCTCCATCACCTTCCAGTAGTTATTCTGGCTGGAGGTGGCCATGCCGTGCACCTCCTTCTGCCCGTGGATGGGCCGCCCGTACTGCTCCCCGGTCACCGAGAGGAAGACGTCGGTGGAGGTGTGCTGGAATCGCACCTCATCGTCCCGTACCCAGTAGGTCCCACTGCACACCACTGTCCAGTCATCCAGGTAGTCACCCTCGCCGGCCTCCCCGAATGCACTCACCTCCTGGGGGTGAAGAAGAGCTCGTTTTGGGGGCCAAGATGAAAAAAAGGGGAGGGTTGAGGTGGGCAGAGAAAGGGGCTGGGCCTAGGAGGGACCTGCTTGTGACTGAGGCTCTGTTGGGACTTGCAGGGTCTGGTTGGCATTCAGGCACTGGCAGGGTATTAGGGAGTTTCTAGGGAGTGGGGAACAAGGTAAAACTGGCAGGGACCCAGCTGGAATCAGGGACCAAGGCAGGGCTGGTAGGGACCCAGCATGAGGAGAAACCCAGTCTGAAGTGGAGAACAAGGTGGGACCGGTGGGGACATGGGGGACACAGCTGGGGCCAGGAATTAGGAAATGCTAGTACACATATGGTGGATCTGGTTGGGACAACCCAGGAGACTGACTGTGGAATACGGTGGGGCTGGCATTAACTTGGGGGACAAGGGAAACTCAGGCGGGATGGACAGCGACAGACACAACACAGCACGGACTCAGGAGACCCGCCAACACCCGGGTGACAAGGCAGGCCCAGGGAAAGCTACGGAGCCCGGGGAGCAGGGCTGGTGATGGCCGGGCGGTACCTGGTTGCCGGAGAGCGGCGAGGTGAAGCGGTGGCTGTGCAGGTTGCGGCCGGTGCCGAGGTGCGTGAGGCGGATGGCCTGTCCGCAGCGCACCGGCGT